ATGTATATAGGGTTACAGAAAATATTACATTCCTCTTAAAAATCACAGAAGCGTAATGATGTCCTAAACTACTACAATTTTTGCTTTTGTTGATTGGTTAGCCGTTTATCATTAGTCCGACAGAAGATACTAACGAGTAACGATCTTTGAATATTTCACATTCAAAGCTAATATCTACTCATGATTCAGTGGGACACACAAATTTTTATTACTTTGTTAAAGGAATATTAAGCGAAGCCGTTTCATAAATCGATAATCCTGTTTGTATCTTATCTCAGGCACAAGATGAATTACTCATTCATACTTATACTTTTGATTAAAGTGTATCATTTCGCAAGAACTATAAATCAATATGGAATATACCATATATTTTAATTTCGGATGTTGTAAGAAAACCCTAAGACGTAAATTTCGAAATAAATCAAATTTATTAATGTGGGTCTTCTTCAATTTATCTAACCTCGTTTGAACAAAGCAAACCGTAAAATTAGGCTTTACCGATTTGTTGTTTCTGTACCTAAACAAACTGATGACGTCATAACAACGCAATGCGTACAACTCCAAATATTCCCGGATAACAAATATATAATTTCATTTACTAATTATATTCGCGAGCAAATAAAGATTTATACGTTATAACATATTACGAACACTGTCTACGAATTGTACTGGGATTTAAAACTTCCATCTAATATTTTGAACGCATTTCGACTAGGGATTTTCATTTCTGCTAATGCTATTGTATTAATCGACAAAACATTTCGTATCACATACATATAAAGCCATATCGATCAATTCCCAAACAAACAGTTCACAATTTATACCGAAAACTACACAAAAACTGGGTGTTTTACTTGACTGAACATCCCTTTTTTTATTATAGTTACCTCCCATCCACCCTTTCCTATTACAATCCAAACAAAGGCATAGGATTTACACTAAATTACGTTCTTTGAGTGTATTCAATGACTTTAGATTGATAATATTGCTTTTCTGTTGAAATAAGTACGTGCAATTTCTTCGCGTGAAGCTCTGGTTTAAAGCCGTCGTAGTCTTCACCTGGTGTAGTGGGCTTGGTACACATCAAAAGTTTGAATCTTGTAATTTTTTACTGTTAATTCATTATGTACAAGCGATATGGGTTTTTTTGTTAGTTCTTTTCCCACGTAAAAATAGACGAACCTATCTACATTGCACATAAATGGTCGTAATGATTCACCACAACAACGGCCGACAGTGCGATATATTTTCGCAGAAACAAAATGCTTTGCAGTCTGGTTTCAGACCCAACCACAGTTGTACTACAGCTTTATTACATGTATCTGTCGCCTTATGGCTGCTGTTGACAGGAACAATTTTATCATGCTTGTGCTACTGGATTACTCCCGGGCCTTTGATAGAATTAATCATAACGTGCTTCTGTCTATCTTGAACTTCAGGCTTTGATGAAGCTTCCATTAAGAGTATTCGTGAGTATATGAGTGATAGGACGCAACGAGTTGTATTGAACGGACAATCGTCTAAAACATATACAATTACAAAAGGAGTGCCACAAGATACAGTCCTTGGGCCATTACTGTATATCATATATGTATACAAGTAACTTCAACAGCTATCTAAAGCACTGTTCCTATGATCTCTATGCGGATGACGCTCAGTTGCTTTATGAATTTCCATCCAACACCATTAGTACAACAGCAAAAAATAATGTAAACGCTGATTTAACCAGATTAAGTAAACTATCTGAATATCATGAGCTTATAATAAATTAATTATAATATATATATAATTATAATTACAATAAATCATCTGTTATGTTGTTTGGCAGGTTTAAGATGATTGCCAGATTTAAACCTGACCTTGCCATAAATATATCGGTATTGTGCTTCCGGTCGTGGATGAGGGTAGAAACCTTGGACTTGTCGTTGAGACTAAAATTCGTTTTAACCAACTAGTACAGTCAAATTAGACCAAAAAATGGGCATTCCGTGCATCAGATATGTCATCTCTATTTTTTCTTTTAAATTTTTAGGACGAATATGGATGTGAAAAATCCAAGTTTTGGACATTGAAAGACCCGTGCGAGCGACACACCATTTTTTGGTTTTTGTAAGTTTTACTCCTGAAGGACCGATTTTAATGCAATTATTGTCGTATACTTTTTTGAACTAGACAATTTAACGATCTCCGCAAGTCTAATAGTTTCCGAGTCACGGCGCTTCAAATATTGGTAATTTTATTAGTTTTAAGTTTTATCAAAATTTGCGTTTTTTTCGCAGAAACTAAACTTACCAAATTTGCACGATGAATTGTCGTAGGTCGTAATAAACTTGTTGTTGAAGAAGCGCTAAAAATTGCGGATAATGAAAGCAAATTAAATATTGATTCTTGTCTTTTAGTGGAAAAATATCCATGTTTATATGATGCCTTATTCAAACCACAGTGTTGCGAGTAAGTTTTCTGCTACTGTCACAGATCTATAATAATCTGTGTCTCTTGTCGAGCAAGGTCAGGCAAAAGGAAAAAAATCACAAATTTCGCAACCCATGCAACAGGTAGTGGATCTTGCTGAAGAAGAAGATGATGACAACTTTCTTATCATGGGACAAGCTGAGGATCCAGAGGATATCAGCATTCTAGCTCCTTCTGTACGGATTTATGGAGACTCCTCACCACAAAGTCTCCCCAAACGAACAAAATTATAAAAATGTTTATGAGGTTTTTATGCGAAGAAAAGGCAAATTTGATTAAAACTGAAGTATTTACGAATTTTTGAAACGCTGTATCTCCAAAACTATTAGACTTACAGAGCCGGTTAAGGGCTTTAATTGTCACAAATTTTGTCTAGTTAAAAAAGTATACGAGAGTAATTGCTTTAAAATATATATCCTTCAGAACTAAAACTACCCAAAACCTAAAGAAAATAGAAAAATGCCGTATTTTCGAGTGCTGCGTTGCTCGCACAGGTCTTTGGATGTCGAAAACTTGGATTTTTGACATCGATACTCAGCCTAACAAATAGAAATGACACATCTGATGCAAGGGAGTATGATACATTGACTGGACTATTGTGTCGCCACCAGAATATGCCTTCCGAGATCCGATTTTGTCTACGTTACTTTCTGATGATTACTACGAAAAATCATTCCTGTTATTTTGATTACATTGCATCCTTCAGATTAGCATTGTTACAACGATATTAGCACCGTTGTTTTTTGTAAATTAGTTTTTGAAGTTATCGAGATCATTTACAATTTTACCGATGACCTTGAGAATGTAATTATATACCAAATAAAAATGAGGCCATTGACTTTGGCTGACTTTAAGGGTGTAATTAGAGACACATTAAAAATGAGGCCAGTGACCTCAGATGACCTTGATAATATAATTTGACACGGAAAAAATGGGTTCATTGATCTTGGATAACCGTGAGAGATTAATTAGACACTACATAAAGAAGTCTTTGACTTTTGATAACCTCTTGCATGTAATTTGACACTGCAAAACATGGTGCTTGTATGCTCTTGAAAATGTTATTTGATACATACAAACATAGGTTCATTGACCTTGGATTACCTCGAGAAAGTAATTGGACACCACAAATAAAGGGTATTGACCTCTGACTTTGAAAATGTAATTTTATACCACAAGTGAATTCATTGTCCTCGAATGACCTCGAGAATGTAATTCGACCACATAAAAATGCAGTCATTGACCTTGTATGCCATTGAAATTGTAATTTTATAATACAAAAACGACCCCATTGACCTTGGATGACATTGCAAATTGATTTTGACACCACAATTGAGGTTATTGAACTTAGATGACATTGAAGATAATTAACACTACCATTGGGGTTATTTACCAGAGAAGGCCTCGAACATGTAATTTAACATTGGGACAATGAGCTCGGATGATCGTGAAAATGTAATTTGACACCGCAACAAAACGGGGCCAACGACCTCGCATGACCTTGAACTTTTAGGAGGGGGCAATGACCACGGATGACCTTGTACATGTATGAGGTTAGTGGCCTCTGATGGCATTGGAAATGACCTCGGATGACCTTGAAAATTAATGGAGTCAAGGATCTCGGATGACATTGAAAATGATGTCGCCGCCACCGCCCACGTGACACGCGACTTTCACCGCGAACTGATTTCCAAAATCACCGCCCACGTGTTACTCAACTTCCACCTTGGCCAATTATCAAGATCCCTGCCACGTGACCTTGACCCAAGGTCCCAAGGTCACCACCTGAGGAAGAGCGAACTGGAAGTGGTTCAGGTTCGGTATAGTATATCTACTCATTGGAAATGCTTATGTTTTGTAAGGGTATGAAGCCGATGGTTGCATGGATCGCGAAATCTGTGAATTTTTAGTTACATTACTTGTTTTACGCGCTATTCACTACTCCTCTCGTTTGTTTGTTTGTGTTGTTATCTGTTACAGATTAAGCAGAACGCGCCCTTCTTGAGCCCAACAAGGCCATTGTGAACTGTAGTTTAAAAACTTTTTTTTATTTTCAACCACTCCTTGATATAACTTTTGATTACATACTGGTTTTCGATACAATCCAATTGTAATTACTTCCTTTGTTTGATATAAAGTTGGGGAGGACAGGTTTGTCTCCGAACGTTCCAGACTAAGTACAAAATTAAAAATCAAAGTGTATCGAATGAACCTAGGAATGAACTTTCTTAACCTTGTCAGTCAGAGCTGAACCGAGCTTACCGTCTCTATGTGTGTATCGATCGTTTCCAAGCTGCCGGTGGTTTTACTTTGATTATTGAAAGGGCTTGTTAGGACTTGTTAACTCAATAACTACCCTCCATTCAACACAAATGGCAAATATGAAAGGATCATATGATGAAAAAAGAAACTACAATCAACGAAATTGGTTATAATAATAAAGAGCAACGTTATGAAAAGTCCTTACAGATAGATTTTTTACCTAAATAAACGCCTATTTCATTTATATACCTCACTTCAGAATGTTCTTACAGAAGTTTGTGCTGTTTGGCGAAGAGGTTCTTGGAGAGTTTCTGAATTGGGCTCTCGGATGGCGTATTTGGACGCAGATCCTGGTCTTCCAAAATGGCGTTCCGTTTTTCTCTAAATGCCGCAAGACCGTCATCAAAATCTTTGTAGTAGTTGATCACTTCTCTAACGTCCTCAACACCGGAGTGCGCTATTGTAACTAATAATGCTGTCAAATCGATCAAGGACGTGTCGTTATCATTACCATCCCATCGGGGAATTTGGAACACGTTATCTGGGTGAAATTTGGCGGAGTTTGCGTTCCAGTCAACTACTATAACTCTGCTAAGATCTCTGTTTAATTTGTTCAAATCTTTAACATGGGCGCCGTCCACAAAGTTAGTTGCATCTCGCACTAATTTGTACATTATCAAGTTCTTTGGATCTAGCGCTTCCACGATCGGAAATACCGTCATTCCCTGTTCAGCTGTGTATATCACAATTTCGTACAAACCGCTTAAGGTTTCCAAAAGATATTCGACCCCTGGGCGTTTTTTAAACCTCCACCCAGTTTGGTACGTCCAGTCAGGGTGGACCAGTACATCGGTGAGCTCTAAAACTAGTGTAAAAGGCGGTTGATAGTATGGAGGATTTAATTCGTCGGGCAGAAGCTTTTCCCTAGACGGTTCGCTAATTAAACGCACATACCCTTCCAACACCTTCAAAGCTCTTCGGATGTATTGCAGTGGGGTGGGTTGAGCATAAAATTCGTCTGGAATAAGTAGACCATTTTCAGCTGCTTGTGGTTTTCCAAATTTGACAACTAAATAGATTCCTGTACCTAAAACTGCTGTCGCGCTCAGTAACAAAGTGTACTTAATTGTTCTCCACGCGGCCTCTCGGTTAGCAGCGGTACCATCTCCGTTGAGATGGGATGAAATTAGTGGACTTTCGGTTAGGTAACCTGAAATCTGAGTTTGTTGTTCACCAATTTTTGAATTCACTACTTTTGAAAGTATCCTATTCTGTTGAACTATGGGTATGCTTCTCTTAACTAAAAATTGTGCAGAACTTTTGTTGGGTAGTTGTATAAACAACGCAAACACTCTTCTTATAAACATTTTGAATCTTTGTATCTTAAACGCCAATTAACTAATGTCAGTGTCGATCTAATGTAAACTGTCAAAATTACTTTGTTGTTTAAAAACTAAGGTAAATTGATTTATTTGTCTGTGAAATTCACTATTAAAATCATACAGACTATTTATTAAGCGGCAGAGTAAAGCGATGCAAGCTTTATAGGGGAGTCGATGGTGCCCGTCTCTCCGTCTGTCCGTGAACACGATAACTGTCAAACGCTTGGACCGATTTGGTTCAAACTTTGCACAGTTATCATATTATATACCACATGTAACGAGCCAGTTAAAAATGGGTCAAATCCATTGACTCCGTGGGGTCACACCGAGGTGCTGTTCCGTTTTTTTAAACGCTCTTTATGGGTTTATTGATTGTGGCGCAGGATGAAGCAACTTGATAAAAATACAAAGACATTTCAAACAAAACGACCAGGCGTACGACAATGAAAATTTCTATTAGTTTTTTTCGACAAATAAGGATGTAAAGTAAACTAGAATAATAATGCCAGATCTCGTTATAAACAAAAAAATTTCAAATGATCTGGGAAAGAACCATTCATTCGTAGCTTTAATATAATGGGTGGATTATTCTTTGGAATTTTAACAATAGTAATACGTCTCCTTACAAAAGTGCTTTACATAATTTAACACTCTATTGCTCACATATTACTCCCACATCTGCATTTGAATCTAAAACTAGAGACATTTCTAACTTGCTACGAATGTTTAATATCCTTCTATGGTGGATGTTTAGGTACGCTGTTTATCGCATCAATTTTTTTTAACAGAATTCGATTAGGGTTTTGGTTGGACGTTGAGCGATGTTGAATAAATTTGAGGAAAGGTTCAATGAAGACAAAATATTTAAAGTGCTTCTATCGATTGTTTCCATTGTAATTTACAAGGGCGTTCAGTAACAATAGGGGAGGCATTTAATATTTAGGCGAGATACAAAGAACGTCAGTATAAGATGTACCTACTTAACTGTACAATAAATAAAATATGTTTTCCTTTCCTGTGTTTATTTGCGGTTAAGGAAATAAGTAGTAGTTAATCCAAACAAACCTGAAACTGTTTTTTTGTAAATACGAATGCTTTTCTTGAATCCTTTACCAGTAAGTATGGAAAAAATATCAAAAACATATATTCCAAAACAATTACGTATAGCCAAGTGGGCAGCAAATCATACATGCGCGACCAAATAGGTATTCGAGAAGAGTTTGCTGCGTCGAATTGTGTGCTGCACAGCCACCAAAGTCATCAATTCGTTCGTTTGTTCGTTGGTCGCCAAAAATTTGAACTAAGAATTTCGTCGTCGTCCATCAACAACTGCCAGAAACAATTTACTCGTCGCTCATCAATTCATCGTGAATGGACTATTTTACCAGGGCCCGTCTTGGTTTTTTGGCCATTAAACAACAAGTTTCCATTTATTAAGGCAAAGCGATGCAAGCTTTATAGGGGAGGCGATGGTGTCCGTCTGTCCGTCCGTGAACACGATAACTGTCAAACGCTTGGACCGATTTGGTTCAAATTTTGCACAGTTAACCTATATGCTACATGCAATAAGCCAGGGCAGTCACATTAGTTTTTTTTTCATTGTATTTTTTGTATTTGATAATAATCTTTGTTTGTGTATATTTCATTTCGTTATCCTCATCACGAAAAGCACTAGAAATTTCCTTCTATATCCAGTTCACTACGAAATTAATCGTTGAAGCAAAGTTGTTAACTTGACCGACAGGATTCGTTCTAGAGGTCAAATGGTAGGTGATCATACCTGCCCTGTGAAAGGTCTTTGCTATGTCAGTAAAAACTACCAGTCCTCTAATATTTATTTATCAGGACATCTAGAGATGCATTTTCCGTCGCTTCAAACTTGGAGGCCGTGAAACCGGGACCGAATGAAGTGATTTAGTATTAATATACCGGGTGGTGCCTAGCGCGACGCAGCATAGGGATTTCAATGGTAATTTCCTTATAGTCAATTACTAGCTCCCCTAATTATTTTAGAGCAAAAGTCTAAATACGTTTTTTTAGAAAAAGAAATACTGCATGTGTTCATACTTTTAGTTATAATTTTCCATTTTTCAAAACCGTAGAAATCGACAAAATAAAAAGGTTCATTTTACAATCAATCAAATATGAAATTAGACATTCAGATAACGTCAATTATTGGAATTCAGTTTGCCAATTACGCAAGTAGCTATTCATATACTAAACTAGCTGAGAATTCTGTCAGTGAGGCTATCGAACCTCCAAAGTTGGTTGTGTAAACCGTAGGCCATTTCAACCCTAAATCTCAGTCTTCGTTTCCGTGGCCAATCAGTGCCGAGTACTATTATGCGTTCACTCGTAGTAAATTAAGGGGTTACGAGCGTTTTTGTCCTTCTGTCCGTTGCTGTGGTTCACAGGAACTAAATTTTGTGCTCTTCCCGTAGTTTCAGAGCCTTTATGTGCAAGAACTAACTGTGCTCATTCTGTTTTGGGCAATGTCTTTGGGAATGCTGCAAAAAAGCTACCGTATCAGGCAGGGGCAAGATACTAATCTACGTGTGAAAAATGAGTTATCGTCGTCCGCACTTGTGCGTCGACTTTTTAACTTGTTTTTATTTTTTATTTTCCACTTACTTCATCTGCAATGAAGGGTTACGATGATTGAACTGGATTAACCGTGTTGATAGAAATTGGCATGGAAATAGTTTCTCTAGCAACCACAACCAACACCACTGAACTATAATTAAACTGGAACGCGCACTGCCGGTCTCTGAGAAACGTAGCGCGCCGAGAGAGATAGTGCAAGGGGGATTTCTATCACTGTCACTCATTGGGGAACTGATCATTAATATAAATTCAAAACATATCAAATAGACTGCTCTATGCATGCGCGAGAGTAGGACAAAGATCCCCCTTGTGGCCCTCTCTCTCGGATCGCGTTGGTCGACGAAGCGCGCGTTCCAGTTTAATTATAGTTCAATGACCAACACGTATTATTAGAGAATCATACGAAATTGAATAGGAGAAAAGTGCTTCGAATCGCTATACCTATTAAAAAACGAAGTTATTCAGAAGTGGTAGTTGATAAGTCCCTACAATTATGGCATCAAACGAAAAAAGTATCGTCATCGTCATCGAGTTAGTGTTCTCAATCAAATCAGTAAATGTAATACTTAAGAATTCTATGGCCCTGGAAATTGCATGAAATTAAATTCTCGAATTTTTTCTTAACCAAATTTAGTACCTAAACCAACCCACGCAAAGTATCGAAAGCGATGTAGGTACCAAATTTGAGCCTTACACATCAAAGCGTTTTTGAGTTATAACGCTCAACGATTAAACGGACGGTCGGAACCGGAACTACGGACGGACGAGTCAAATTGGTGTCTAGGACAATCAGAAAATAGTTTTGATTTTTTTCGTGAGAGAAAGTATGTTTTCATAAACAACCTGTTCAGTTTTGAGCGTTGAATAATAGTGTTTTTATTCAATGGTTTTGAGGCTTTCGTTATTCGTTTCTTAATGTGTGTATGTGTAACGTTATGAGGGTTGCTTAATGGTTTTTGTCCGCATCTAGCGAATACAACATTTGTCATATTTTTCGCTACAACGTTATCTTATTATTTATCCATGTAAAATACAAAGAGTGGTATATGTTATTTCACCATTATATAGTCACTAAGGTTTGCGTTAAAAGTATGTACCTACATTCGCAACTTATTTTAGTAATTTGCAAAACGAATTACAAATTAAACTGGCAGCAATTGCACAATAATTTTGCGGTAGAAAGATGTATGGGAATAAAAATGGTATCTAGGTTACCTACGCAATTCTGTTTGCTACTCTCGGTGAATTTTTTATTTCATTTATACCAGCGGCATTTTATTTCTTTATGTAAATATGTTTCGAGGAAATAGCTGCGCTACGCAAAATTTATTTTCATGAGATTGTGCTTAAAATTTTGCATTTCTAATTTTCTTAAATTTGAAGATAAATGTAGGTAATCACCAAGAATGGCAGCTTCCGCTCGACATTTCTAGTTTGTATTCTTACGAATTTGTCAGAGATATGTAGTACTCATTTCGAGACTTAATTTATCATATATATGCGATGCTATTTTTTCCACGATGTCTTTGTGCCCATATGATACATTTCTGACAATACATTCATCGTTCTGCTTTAAATGAATTGGTCCTATTCATTTTAAGTACGGTATTATAATATTTACGATAGGGATAAATAATATATAGTTTACCTTAGTTTTGTAACTCTTACAGTTACAATGCAAGTTAATAATTACTCGTCATTTGAATTTGGTGCCACCGTTGTGTGAAGGCGGTGGTACCACGCTACTAGCAGCGCCAATAGCCATATACCTACTTTTAGTCTAAGAGCCAGCGCCAAAAAAGTTTCTGAATTTACTAAGGCTGCTTTTTTCATAGTGCATTACAATGGTTGTGTGCATAATAGCCATTTATATATCAAGTACATAAACTGGGTCTTTATGGACGAGCCGTTTATTTAGCCGAGCGAGCTTGCGAGCTAGGCACAAATAAACAAGGCGAGTCCCCATAAAGCCTATTTATGGACGCGATATATACAAACCATTATGTACGACTGCAACAACCCTTAAAAATGAAATTTTCATGGAATTCAATAAACGATAAAATTGACAACAGATGTCAAGCATTTGTCAAGTATTTCTAAAATACTTGAATTTACCTTGGATTGACACCTAAGCACGACTGTCACATTGACAGGCGGCCGTTTTACTTTATCATTATGGACTAGGCCATAATATTGCAAATTATGGCCACTAATTGCGGTCTAGGACATTTTGGCGCGGCCACTTCGGCGCCGCCACTTTGGCGCGGCCGCTTTGGCGCGGCCGCTTTGGCGCCGGGACAGTTTGGCGCCGGGACATTTTGGCGCCGGGACACTTTGGCGCCGGGACATTTTGGCACCGGGACACTTTGGCGCCGGGACATTTTGGCACCGAGGCAGTTTGGCGCCAGAAATTTATACACATATAAAAACCTAATCGTTATTGATGATATACAATTAGATGAAATTTACCTGACACACAAATAGTTTACTTACTTCTGTTATGACCGTTTGCACCGACAAAGCTTAGCTTAAGCGTCGTTAAAAACCCACGGCGACCATTGTCGCAACGGGTTGCCATGGATTTTAATCTATGCTTATGCTAAGCTCCGCTTAAATTTGCCGGTGCAAACGGCCAAGGGACATAAGTTCTTTAAGATATACACCACCGTAGGTAATAAATGTGTCAAAATAAGCAGAAGGTGCACATTTCTGGTATTGTTAAATATTCTATTGTTTACTTGCCGACAAATAAAAATATTTACACCATTAGGACCGACTGTGGTAATTAGGAAAAACCAGAGACTTGCTATAACTAGACTGCGCTTAACGTATCTAAGGTGTTGTCGACACAGTATGCCACACACAATGCACTGCGGGGCAAAATCGCTGAGATGATTTATGCAATATAATGAAATAAGCTGTTATTTTAGATGTTCCGTTCATTAATCATTCTCGTGATTAGCTCGAATTAGTGAACAGATAAATTTCTGTTGAGAATAAACCAATAAACTTAGGTTAACTTGTGCGTATCAACATTTACTCTGTCGATAAATTTTTAAATAATATGCTGATTTTCCACGAATAAAAGTTTAAAGGGAGGATTGTTGTACGGATCAAACGATGCATTAAAAATTTGCCAAATTGCTGAAAATGTGTTCAGGTTATTCATTCAATCCACACCACACCGCGTTGTAAACAAAATGGTTATCAGCAGTCTTAGAAAAATAAATAACAGTTACAGTTACAATTTGGGTTTTTGGATAGGCATTATATTGAATCAAAATCCGCTAAATAATCATATCTTACTACTTACATCTTTAGTTTTAAGAGTATATTTTCCCATACGTGTTCACCACCAAAATACACATATAAATCAAATTAGGACTGGAGTAAGGCAGTTATATACCAATTTAGTTCAAATAAAATACCAACAAATTCGATTAAAATAGTTAACAGCTATATGTTATCTTTTTTTGCTACTAAAATTTAGAATAAACATGGCTAAAGCAAGCTGCAGGACGTACGTCTGCCCCGCGATGAACAGTTGGTTGCCTATCGTATCTTGACAACAGGCGTTTATAGTAAAATCTACGTTACGCGCGGTCTAGTTATAACAAGTCTCTGGGAAAAACCTGTATTACCTATACTGACTCATTCTTAAACCTACCCTGATTATCTGCCTTAGTTTCCCGTTCGACTCTGTTTGCAACTTTTGTGTGTTCCTTGTAGCAGTTGTAGAATACTGTCGATTGATCTCCTCAGGTTCTTTTTAAACTCTTTTTTGTTTTGTGATAATTAGACATGAATCGCGAGCGCGAAATTATATCAGTACGCGGGAGAAACAAATTTGTGTCTGACGGTTTTTCATACACATTTGATAAGCTAAGTAAAGACGGCCTAACATCATTTTGGAGGTGCACCAATAAAGATGAATGTAAGGCGAGATTACATACAAGGAACAACGAGGTGGTTAAATTGCTCAATGTACATAATCACGATGCTTCTGCGTCAAGCATTGAAGCAGCTGAAATTGTTACCCGTATCAAGGCACGTGCTGTGAACACCCAAGAATGTACTTCACAAGTTATCAACGAGTGCATCACCGGAATATCTCAAGCAGCAATGGTAGGTTTTGTTTTTAAATGTTAGTGTAAGACGCCCATTACACTAATCAAAGAAAAAATATAAAACCCTACCGAAACTATTTGTTAGTCAAATTTAAACGCATTAGGTACAGTATATAAGGACATACATTTTTTTAAATTGTAAATGTGCCTGCTGTGAGTAAATATGGATTTTTATCTTGAAAAATTTGAAAGAAGTTTTTTCTTTGATTAGTAAAAAATGGAATCACTTCATATATTTCTGTAAAGTTAAGTTTACGTATATATACAGAAAAGTGACAGAAGGTCTTTCGAAGTCCTTTATTTTGACATTTGATTTTTTAAAATCGGTCGTTCGTTTTGGAGAAAATTAGAAAAATTTTTACTTAAATAAATCGACCGATTTTAAAAAATCAAACGTCAAAAGAAAGGACTTCGAAAGACCTTTCAAACAAGCTCTCACTCGATACCACTTGTCATTTAAAATTTGTAAGGGAATGACCCTGAGGGACAAAGGCTGAAAGGGGGTGAAGTAGTTTTTTGTTAAAAAGTTGTCCCCCTAGACAAATCTTTTGACGTGTCTCGGAGTTTTTTCTTTTAATCAGTGGTTTTCGATAAATCCGTGGTGGGAAGTTTTAAAATGAACACCCGTATGCAATTACAATCATGCACTTTCAAATGCATAAAAATCCTAAGCCATGATATTAATTATTAGCTGTTTTGTAATACAACACTCGTGCATTCTAGGCTTCTCTTCCACAACTGGGAGCTCTCAAGAAAACTGTAAGACGCAAGAGAAATGAAGTTAATGCAGCCCCTCCAGCACCACTGAATTTGCAAACGCTACAAATTCCAGATGAATTCAAAATGTATGCATTTGACAATGGAATAGAAGAAAATTTTTTGTTATATGACAGTGGACCGGAAGAAATGAGGATATTGATTTTTGGTCGTCGACAGAATTTACACATTTTACGTAGCAGTGATACCTTCTATGGCGACGGCACCTTCAAAACAGCTCCACATTTGTTTTCGCAAATTTATACTATACTTGGACGACTTCATGGTGGAGTGCATCCAATCATATATGCCCTTCTGCCAAATAAACAGGGCGCTACGTACGTGAGATTGTTTCGAGCATTAATAGAATTAGAGCCCAACTTTCAACCTCGATCGTATTCCTGCGATTTTGAAGCAGCCGCCATTACTGCATTTCAAGGATGCTTTCCCGATGCAAATATATTCGGTTGCTATTACCACCTAACTCACAACGTAAAGAAAAAAATTTGTGAATTAGGATTGATTCAAAACTACAATAATGATGCTAATTTCTCCTTGCGCGCAAAAATGGTACCCGCGTTGGCCTTTGTTCCAATAAACGACCTGGAAAACGCCCTTGATGCTATTTCGGAAGCTCTTCCCGATGATTTGCAACCCTTGGTAGATTGGTTTGAGGACAATTACATCGGTCGCAGAAATCGTAGAGGGCTTGGCAGGCGTCCAGCCCTGTTCGGACCAGAGACATGGAATCTGCATCAAAGAGTGTTAGACGGCGAAGATCGTACGAACAATTACGCCGAAGCAGCGCACCGTAGGCTTACAATAGAATTGGGAATGGAGCATCCAACCATTTGGAAATTCATTGTTGCCTTAAGAAAAATTCAGATTGCAAGGGACGTTCGCTATGAACAACTCCTTGCTGGTCATCAACCATCACCAAAAAAACGCAAATATAGGGAAATTGATAACCGTATTTCCAGACTTATTTTAAACTACAATAATGATAATATACTTGAATTTCTGCGTGGGATTGCGCACAATTATGAATTACATTAAGTTTTTTGTAACATATATTTATGTAGGTACATATGTTTATTCGTGATAATTAAATAGGTACCTTTTGCGTGCAAAATGACTAGCCACTTTCCTTTAGTAGCTTATTCCTTGTTATAAGTTGCTTTTATTTGCTGTGCATAGCAGTGATATCTGGAGGTCGTTTATAGTTACTATGTCTTAAATGGATTAAATGTGCCTATTCTGGGGCAGATATGAATCATGCTATTGTTTTGTTTGGACAGGCGATATACCTACTAAACATCAACAAATAACTGAAGAGCACTTTCTACTTCAAAGGCGATTACTTGCATTATTATGAAAGTAAAAGAAAGTCCAAAAGGAAAAAGTTTTGCACACTTTCAACCAGTAGCGTAGGAATAATCTTCATATCCACCTCATTGTGCACATTGTGCAATGCCGAGTGCTAAACATTCATGCTGCCTAAATGTCTCCCTCACAACCCACATGTTTCTGCGCCAAAGTGTCCCCGCGCCGAAGTGTCCCGGCGCCGAGGTGTCCCGGCGCCGAGGTGTCCCAGCGCCGAAGTGTCCCGGCGCCAAAGGAGCCGCGCCCAAGTGGCCGCGCCAAAGAGGCCGCGCCAAACTGTCCGGGTCCGCACTAATTGCGACTGTAATCACCGCATTATCAAGCAGTCGTACATAAACATGCTTTGGTCATTCAAGTGAAAGTGAGAACAGACGCCTCCGGTACGCTACCGAAGATGTCGTACCTGCCCAGTTATTAAATGAATTTACTAAGGTTGAACATTGTTATGCAAATAGAAATAGTTTACTGTATATTAATGAAGGTTATCAGCCCAGGCACTTTAGGTTAAAAAATAGACAAAATCAGTAACTATCTGATTTTTGGTGAGTTGTTAGTGTGTGATAAGGTAAGTATTTTCTGAAAGTTCCCCTCATCTCATCCGCTTGCTTCAACCGGTAGAGCGATAAAAAAGTCTTAAGCGAATACAATAATATCGCTATTGCGCTCCATCTCCGGCACAGGTTTGGTGGTTGTGGACTTAAATTGTTCAGAATAGTAGTGGTTATGCTCAAGAATAACCACTACAACAATTCATGGCATTTAAACTGTTTTCTTTATCATGTTTCATGTTTGGTAATTTTTGTCACGTTACAATGAAACATAAAAAAATTGCAGTGCCTAGCACAGATACCACTCACACACCTGCGTATGCGCAATTCTACCCATTTATGTGTAAGAATATGTGTACCAAATTTGAGTCCAATCAGTTCAGCCGTTTAGCCGGAAATGAGACTACCTACAGACGGACCGACAGAGCGACAGACCGACATCATTGAGATTTTGTTTGATGTTTGATTCCTTGATCCTGGTGCTTCAAGACGTGTATTTCCGTCAAAGGAGTCGGTTGTCATTCGTGACCCCACTGAAATATCTCCTTTACTAACGTGCCGGTGGTAAAACCGAGGTAAACCACTGAACATCGCGTCGTAAACGGCACATTAAAAATCACAGACAAGGAGACACGTGTAGACCCTTATCAACTTTTTATGAGAATCACTTGCATGTCGAAATTTCCAGAGGACCATACGGAATATCTCGTATTAGCTCGTTCCGAAGCCGCACCATCGTTGTTTGAGGGGCCTTACAAGAGGAAAACAACAAAGTCAGAGTTAGAGGAAACTATAAATGCTGCATACACTGATAGTCCACCGACCTACAAAGTGCAATACGTTGTCGGCGTAAGATTCCTTCTCAGGAAAGGAGTTTGGTGGTGACCTAGCGAACCGGGATATTTGCCATTCGTATGTCCAATACGTACTGACACACTATGGTCAGCCGAATTTTGAAATGCTACAGTATTTGACGGGTATGGCTTATAAACGAGCAAGAACGCCTCTGAGGAAAGCAGAAGATCTCGCTGTGTGGACATACAGGTAAATCAAGACGCAGACACCTTCATTGTGACAGTCGTAATCAAGGCGACCACTTTAGACCAAGTTGCCGTAGTTGCGAAGGATGCGGATTTATTCGCGCTTATGATCACTTAAACGGAGTGTTCTTCGAAAATGTTTTTCGTTAAACCAACTACTAAAAAGTAAAGGTTCAGGTACAACACTGACTTGGAAACCACTAACACCCACAGAATGGGGATTCACGAGCAAGTCACCCCGGCACCAAGCCCCTGACAAGCTTTTTCATTTAATTATACATATGATTATAAAGGCCAGTGTGATAGACATTATTATTGCGCCAATGCATCGATCGCATCCTCTGCAGGATGATACGGATGTTAACGATGCGAAATTGTAACAAAGTTCTTCATTTTAGCCGCTCTGAAAGCGCTTTAATTATTTATTGAATTGGTGGTTAAAAACTTGTTAAAATTTACATAAAATTTCAAATAAAACACCTCAAAATATTGTGGATTATTGCAGTGGTTATTATTAAGCACAACCACTGTCATGTTGAACAATTTAAGACCACAACCACCAAAATCGGTGCCATAGATGGAGCACAATAGCTATTTCATTACTTTCCGGTCACAGGCTCTTTCTATCGCTGTACCGGGTGAAGCAAGCGTGGGGGGGGGGGGGGGGTAAGTAAGGGAAACTTCCAGAAAATACTTAACCTTAGCATATAGTAACACCCCACCAAAAATCCGCTAGTTACTAATTTTGTCAAATTTAGGGCATTTTTTTATCTAAAGTGCCTGGGCTATATGAAGGTCACTTAAATATCGGGACGGAACTGGTCCGTCAGCGATTTTGTGGGACAACGCCCGCCAGTTAGCATAAATACGAGGCCGGGTGAATCAAATATAAACGAGACTGGCTCTGTGCGCGTAATATTAAAATTTCAGAGCCCCGCACTCTAGAGGTGTTAGACGGGGATATCAGGAGTTATCACGAAAACATTTCTAGTTTTGAAATCATTGTTTACTAAATAGTTTCTCCCAACTTATTGCACGGGATTTTATTTCTCTCTTGTAAATTCCAGCTTACTACGATCGCAAGATTTTTTATGAACAGAAGTACACCTCACAATTGCAAAATTTGGCCACCACTGCTTTAAACTATCCGCATTTCTTCATTTTCGCTGTTCTCGATGAACCACGTCAACGGTAAAATTGGAATGAATTTATCGCAGTATAAGAGGTTAACCCTGACCAATAAATGTGTGCGGGCATAAATTCCTTTGCAATAATTCATAAAATGTTTCCAAATTGGGATATAAGCGAAAAGTAAAATAAGGACATCGGGATGCTACACAAGTTTATAAAGGACATTCAATTCCGAACGTACGTGACCACTAGATAAGTTAAAGAATATTACTATACGGTCGTCACTAAAGGGAAGCCAAAAGTGGTTTCATGCATAAATCATGAACGTAATGCGGGACTAACAATAATAAAACTTGAAATTTATATTTTGAATCGGGAATATTCTCCGTACGCACAATGCTCTTTTCAGTTTACGTACAGTTCCTCCCTTTTATGTTAAGTGACATTTTAAAAGAGACGATGATGGTTCAATTAAGATGTATTGATTTGGTACAATGCAACATTAGACCCTCATCGATAATCTTGTTTTAGGTTGCTTTTTAAAATCTAAAAGGAAATAAGAAGTTAGCTTACTTAAGGTGTTCATATTCGAACATTTCCAAGTTGATGAAAACAATTTGCGCCCGTTAAGAGAATATTCCATTCAATAGTCTTCCTAAAATATGACTAGAGTTAGGATTTATATGTACAAAAAAACACAAAATATGTGCATATTTATGCTTAAAAATCATGCAAAATATGCTCAACATATGCACTTTAAAGCAAAATATGCTTTATAGCGGTTTTGTACTATATTCACGTTTAATATTTTTATATTTGCATAGATAAGCATAGGTACATAAAATTAACATTTAAAAACGAAACAAATTGATTCTATAATTTAAACAAAAAATATTTCTTAAGAAAAACATTAATCGTAGGTACTAAATATAAAAATTGTAAACAAAAACCTAAGTATTAAAATAATTTCTAAGAACGAAAACATAAACAAATATTGCAGTTAATCTTCACTTTTAAAGAAACTAATAATTATATGTTTTTTCAGATTGTCCATAGTAAATTTGGTTCTTTTTTCACTTAAAATCTGTTTATAGTGTGAAAAACTTCTTTCAACGTCTACACTTGTGATTGGCGCATATTTTAATTAAGAAATCAAATGAGGATCAATGTAAACTTCAACATGTTCCCTTTTCATTATCCTTGCTATTTTTCTTAGGGTAGAAAATCCCTCATTTTTTTGTAGTACTTCCTTTAATTTCTTATTAATTAATTCGCCAATCGAGCCTCGCACATTTAACATTTTATTTTCAAATTCTTCTATAATTTCTATTCCCTCAACTAGTGTCAAATTTTGAGATTCCAGATTGTTTATACCTACTTTTACTAATGAATGCAAAGTTTGTTTTGAAATATGCCAAATCTTGTTGAAGTTTTTTATTTTTTATAAAGTTTGACATTCACTCACTGCTACTGAGGAAGTTGCGGATAAATTCCATCACAAGTTTGAAAAAATTTTAAATATTGTCTGCATAGTAACAAGCAGCATCAATCCATGTTCCCCATCGTGTTAATACAGGTTCCGGTGGCAGAGGCATGTTTGGCAATCTTTCTTCTCAGTGGGGATTTGAGAAATATTGTTTTACCAGTTTTAATCAATGTATAATTAATGGAAACTGCTCTCTTACAGTTTCAGCGACACGATTTAGCCCATTAATAATATTTTCTCACTAGGAACTGGGTCAGGTAAAAAGAAGTTTGTTAGTCCGTCGTGAACAAACCTTGTCACAGTATTGTTATTCGTATGCTCCAGTTGTTTGCAACAAATTAAATATGCTTAAATATTAAATGTTTAAATATGATAGCTATGATACAACATTATACTGTTCTATGTTGGAATCTCTAGGATTTGAGCAAATGGTTAAGGAACCAACCCGTATTTCTGCTAAAGCTTCAACCTTAATTGATCATATTCTTGTGTCTGATTCGTCCAAAGTTTTGTCTTGTGAAACTAAACCTTCGCATAACTTCTCAGATCATGAGTTCATTACATGCTCCATATTGACTGAACTACAATCCATTCTACCCCGTACTATCACATTTCGAGATTACTTTGACATTGATACAAAATTTATTTATTTTGATATTGCTTTAAAAGAGTTTCCATGGGGTGATTTGTACACTCTAACGGACGTCAATGATAAAGTTACGTTCCTAACTCAGAATCTTCTTAATTTATTTGATCAATACTTTCTTCTCAAGACTGTAACATTTAGGAAACCTAAGGCACCGTGGCTTACGGATAACATCAGACTTATGATGCGGTTGCGTGACAAGGCATACATTCGCTATAAATCTTCGAAAAGAGCTTCACATTGGGAGTATTATAAAACAATGAGAAATCTCCTGAATCAAGCCATCAAACACGAAAAAAGGGCATACTTAAATCATGTTTTGAGCAATAATAACAGCACTGCGTTATGGAAGGCTGTTAAAGATCTAGATATTTATAAAAGAAGTAACTCTAGTATACCTCAACATCTCAATAAACCAAATGACCTTAATAACTTTTTCGTCAACTCCATTCCTCAAGCTACACAACCGCTGCACACAACATCATTTACAGAATACTCGGGCGTCCATCCAAAAGTTTCTGACCAACTCAAATTTGTGCCAGTAAATGAAACTGTCGTCCATAAATTTATAAATGAAATAAAATCTAAATCTATAGGAGCAGATGATGTTGGAATTGAAATGATAAAGTTGTGTTGGCCGTTTATAGTCCCTCACGTTACGCATATTATTAACCAATGTATTCTTACTGATACATTCCCTATTCAGTGGAAGGATGCGCATATCCTCCCTCTTCCGAAAAACAAGAATGCTCAGTGTTTTAAAGACTTGAGGCCTATTAGTATTCTTCCGGCTCTTTCCAAAGTACTTGAGAAGGTAATGAAAGCTCAAATGTGTAATCATATCGAGAAATTCCAGTTAATATCACGTTTTCAATCAGGGTTTAGGAAAAATCATAGTTGCGCCACAGCAATTCTTAAATTAACTGATGACATTATTCGAGCAACCGATGACGGCCTGCTTACTGTTCTTGTTATGTTAGACTTTTCAAAGGCATTCGATACGATTGACCACACTCTTTTAGTTACCATTTTGTTCCATCTCGGATTTGATCTTTCCGCATGTCAACTTATTACATCTTATCTGCATGGTAGAAGGCAACGCGTTGTTGTAAACGGTATAAAGTCATTCTGGGCTGACGTTCGCTATGGTGTTCCTCAGGGCTCCATATTGGGCCCATTGTTGTATGTTATTTACTCTACTAATATTTGTCTAGTTCTAGAAAAATGTAAATACCTGTTGTATGCTGATGACACCCAAGTTTATTATTCGTTCCCTCCGGAGCATATTGATTCTGCTACTAAAATAATAAATAATGAACTTAGCAAATTAGCAGCTACCGCTATGAAACATAATTTACATTTAAATGCAGATAAGTCTACTGTGATGTTGTTTGGTCGAAAATTAATGAGAAGCAATGCATTATCCACTGTTAAGGTTAAAATTAATAATTTGGAACTACCTATAAGTTGCGAGGCTAGAAACTTGGGGATGTGCCTGGATACTAACTTGAGGTTCACTGCCCACATTAACGGGTGCGTACGAAAATCCTTTTCTGTATTAAAGCAATTATATCCCAGTAGGCATGTTCTGACAACTGCAACTAAAATACATTTGTGTGATTCCCTCGTGTTATCTCATTTTAACTTTGGAGATGTCGTATATGGAGCGTGTATTGATTCACATACAGCTTCAAGAATACAAAAGGTGCAAAACTCATGTTTACGGTTTATATACGGAATCAGACGCAGTGAACATGTTTCTCCTAAAATTAAGGAAGCTGGTTGGCTTAATATGTCAAAGCGGAGGACATTGCACTCATCAGTTCTTATCATAAAGTCATCACTACTGCGACGC